TTAAAAAATAGTTGCCGTTATTGTAAAAACTTCGCTGTACCTAAACTTTATTGACTAACTGTATACCTTATCTCAGTTAAGTACTACAAAAACTTTCGAAGTACTTCATATACAGCTTAAAAAGAACTGAATTTACTTAAAATCAATATGCTTAAATTTAGACAAGTAAGACAAAGTGAACTAATATTTTTACTTTTAAGCAGAACGCACTTTTGTTTTTTACTTACTAGTTAAGTATAATACTACTACTACTACTAATGTGGTTTATAAATTTTTAATAAATGCGTTTAAACATTTGTGATGGTATTGTCCTTCCTTAAACCGATCGTATTTGATATAAAAGGGAAATGTTTCGACAAGCCTGATTAGAAATGTAGATCTAAGGTGACGAATTTATAACAGGTTGGGAACTATAAAAAATAGATGCAGATCGAACTAGATCTCATCTGTCGAATTAGGAACTGGTGTGGAACTAAAGAAAGGGGGATGCAGAACGAACCNTGATTCCATAAACAAAGGCCAAGATCCTGAAGGACAATTGAGAAAGGCAAGCCAGTTGCAGAAAAAGAGGCATTTAAAAAAAGTGTCAAGATAATTACCACTTTCTCACTAAATTTATTTAAAAATGCAAGCCACCAGAGCTACCTATTTTTTTAAGAAAAGACAAACTAATTTTTTTTTTATGCAATCCAGCACAGCTACCTTAATACAGTCAGTCGATAAAGTTTAGGTACAACAAATTTTTTACAATACGGGCAACTTTTTTTTAAATATTTTAGTTTTCGGTAATTTTTATCAAAATATGGTAAATTCTACAACAAAATCCCCAAAAATCAGAGTTCCAAACCTTGTGCAAAATTTAAGAAAATTCTGCAAAATTTCATTAAAATAATTCACTTTCTATTTACGCTCTCTAGAAAAAAGTTGAGTTTGCAGTTTTTAGCCCATTCAATTTTAGTATGAGGAAGCTAGGACTTACCAAAAAACAAAAAAAAAATTGCTAAATATTAATGGTAAGTCCTAGCTACCTCAAACTTGCACTTTGTTATACTAAAATTAAATGGGCTAAAAACTGCGTACTTACCTTTTTTCTAAATGTAAATTGCAATATTTGGATGGAAATTTGCAGAGTTTTCTTTAATTTTGCATAAGGTTTGGAACTCTGATTTTTGGGGATTTTGGTGTAGAATTAAAAATGTTTTTATAAAAAATTAGGGAAAAATAAAACATTTAAAAAATAGTTGCCGTTATTGTAAAAACTTCGCTGTACCTAAACTTTATTGACTAACTGTATACCTTATCTCAGTTAAGTACTACAAAAACTTTCGAAGTACTTCATATACAGCTTAAAAAGAACTGAATTTACTTAAAATCAATATGCTTAAATTTAGACAAGTAAGACAAAGTGAACTAATATTTTTACTTTTAAGCAGAACGCACTTTTGTTTTTTACTTACTAGTTAAGTATAATACTACTACTACTACTAATGTGGTTTATAAATTTTTAATAAATGCGTTTAAACATTTGTGATGGTATTGTCCTTCCTTAAACCGATCGTATTTGATATAAAAGGGAAATGTTTCGACAAGCCTGATTAGAAATGTAGATCTAAGGTGACGAATTTATAACAGGTTGGGAACTATAAAAAATAGATGCAGATCGAACTAGATCTCATCTGTCGAATTAGGAACTGGTGTGGAACTAAAGAAAGGGGGATGCAGAACGAACCTGATCTCATCTGTCGAATTTGGAACTGGTTCGGAACTATAGAAAAAGGGATACAAAACGAACTAGATCTTATCTGTCGAATTTAGAACTGGTTCGGAACTAGAGCCAAGTCGCCAGTCGCTAGCATGCAAAAGAGAATTAACGCGTACTAGTCATGGTTCCAAACGCACAAGAACCGAACCAGTTCCGCACTAGTTCGTTTCCCTACAGGGTAACAAGCAAAATGAAAAAGTGAAGTGGTCGAATTTCGACAACAACAATACTTAAAATTATGCCTTTTTAATTAAATTAATGTAACGTTTCCTGGGACAAATCTAGAATACCGACCGTTTAGCTATGCAAAATCGAACAGATTTTACACGCTCATCTCGACCATACCAAAATTATTTGGCGCAAGTAAAACATATAGAAGATATAAAAAGCTAATTTTTTTTTAATATTAATATCAGAGATCGAAAATAACCCTCTCTACTTGTTTTTTTATGGAGCTTACCACTGACCCAAACACTCATCTCTCAAGCAAAGAGTGTTTCTCGCCGTGTCAAATCACTCTGTGCGATCCTTTTGTGTTTTGTGTTATTTATCAACTGCTTAAATTTCCCTTAGGCAAAGACACTTTGCCAGGGACTTATTTTTAAGTGTCTTAATTTGTGGGTTATTGAAAGACTGAAAAATATAAGCGGGCGTACATAAGTGGAAGCAAACCCAGTAGACCGCCAAAANCTAATTTTTTTTTTATGCAATCCAGCACAGCTACCTTAATACAGTCAGTCGATAAAGTTTAGGTACAACANATACTTTCCACCTGACTTTTCATCTGCGGAGCATAACAACTTCCATGACTATTCCCCATGACTAACACACAGCGATGTCTGCCTTCGCATAAACGACTTTGTGTGGTACAAAAAGCAATAGAGTGAAATCGTTCGTATTTGATCGTGCGTCCCTGCTAACACACTTGCTTTTTTCATGTGATAGTTCATCTGATCTGATACACAGTAGCTACAACTTAAGAGACTGAGTACGTAGCTGCTCACTACCTAACTTTGTTATCAACTCGTATCAATTTATTACTTCGGCTTCTCCTACTTTNTACAATACGGGCAACTTTTTTTTAAATATTTTAGTTTTCGGTAATTTTTATCAAAATATGGTAAATTCTACAACAAAATCCCCAAAAATCAGAGTTCCAAACCTTGTGCAAAATTTAAGAAAATTCTGCAAAATTTCATTAAAATAATTCACTTTCTATTTACGCTCTCTAGAAAAAAGTTGAGTTTGCAGTTTTTAGCCCATNTGCGGTCAAACTAACAAAAGCATATATGCTGGCATGAATAACATTAGGAGTACCTAACCTGGTACCTGGCCTGGTGGGTTATCTGATATACAGCAGCTACAACTTAAGCTACAACGTAGTCAGTTGCAAATTCACTGCTACTCAAAATCCGCGGTCAAACTTATGATCATTAGTTTATCATTCAGCTGATGTGCGTTATTTATATGCTTTTTTTATTTTTAAGCCAAAAATACTTTAAAAAAAACAATGTTATTTGTTCATGAAATAACCTGTTTAAAAAAAAAATAACTATGCTTAATGCTAAAAGAAAATTATTTCATTTAGAAAGTACAAGCTATAACCTTTAGTTTGATATATGTATGTATATATTTTAGATGATCTGCTTTCGGGTTTCAAGAATTTAGTGATAATAAAAAATACAAATAAACAAAGCAAATAAACCTGTTACATCTTCTTTATTTTTTACCTACGCCAAATAAAAAATAAATTTGGTATGGTTGAAATCAGTCTAAAAATTTCTATCAATCGGCGTTTCTGCTTATTGTATAGCTGAACGGGACTTGTTCCAGCAAATTAAGCAAACGAAGGTGATGCCAATAAATATTTTGTATGAAGAAGTTTAGGCTTTACTACTAATATAACTTAGAAGCTGTAGAGTGAGACACATTTTGCACTTGTAAAGGAGCCGTTTTATTACAAAACCTTTCTATTATTGAATCATGCTGCATGATGATAACAGCATACCTACAAGACATTGCTGAGCACTTTAGGCAAAAAATCTAAGACATTTACACTTTTGTTTTTGTAGTATGGCATAAATGAGTAGTTTGACTATTAGTACTGAGGACTTTCTGATGACAACATTGAGAGGAAAGTACTTAATTGTTTCCCATGGTCTAAACAAAAATGAATACTTTAATAAGCATTTTTGTAATTAGTGATAATGATAATATGAGCACTCATATGATACTCAGCTGTCTTGCAGGATGGTTTGGCTGAAATAACAACATCAGCGTTGGGCAGAGAGGGCTTTTACTCTGCTCGCACCTATACAAAATCTATATAAAGCTTAAAAGAGCTTTGCCCGCGAGAAAGGCGGTGCCCATCGCTGACGTTAATATACGAGTACAATAAAAAAAAAGCAAACGTTCAAGCTCACATTGACATATATTTAGTGCTTTATCAAGGATATTTGACAGTAGCAAAAGAAATGCGTGAATTTTCTGGTACTTTATTAATTAAAGATCGCAAGTTTGCACGGTTAGGCGAATCCTGGGCCGGTTACTCAATGTCTGGTTAACACTAATCTGCGGTTAAACATCGTTATCGACGTCTTCGACTCCATGCATACAACAGGCAATCGGTAGCGTCGATAACGTTGTTTAACCTGTAGTTAGTGTTAACCAGACATTGAGTAACCGGCCCTAAGGGTCATTTACTCAAAGTCTGGTTGACACTAATCTCCGGTTAAACATCTTTATCGACGTTACCGACAGCCTGTTATATGCATGGAGTCAAAGACGTAGATAACGATGTTTAACGGGAGATTACTGTCAACCAGGCTTTGATTAAATTGCCCTAAAGGTTATAATTTATAATTATAACAATTGTATTGAGCTTGAGGCCGATTTTTTAATGAAAACTATTGCGGAAAAATTAACAATAATTTATAAATAGTAGGAGTGATAGCTGTTTCGGAGATCACCATACCTCCTCATCAGACTTCTTCAGCGGTAGTCTATTCCGTTTTTCCATTGTGATTGCACCCGCTTTGGAAAAAATAGATTTTTCGATTATTTTGAAAATTAATCAGATAATCCTTCTATTGATTAAAAGGAAAATTTCGATACAATTAAATAGTTAAGTGAAATCAAATAAACGATCTTAAGTTTTTCGATTCATCGTGCCATCACTAGTTTCCGTAGTATGTTTCTTGTTGCAATTTTCTTAAATTAAAATTCCTCACATCTCTAGGAATACGTAATCGACGTCTGCAATTGGAGGCGATCTCGCATTTGGTAAAGCTGCTTCCAGTAGCTCATCGTGATACGCTTTATGTTTTATTAAAATTCTTAGCAAAAGTGGCTTCCTGTTCAGATGATATAGCTGGGCACGACGGTAATACTCAAATTAGTGGCAACAAGATGGACAGCAATAATTTGGCAACCGTTTTCGCGCCAAACATCCTCCGTACAACATTAAAAAGCTCTTCAACCGCTACCGCAGATGTAGCAGCTTGTGGTTACAGCAACGAGCAAGAATCTATGAGTGATGCAATTAATGTGATCAGGTACTTTAACGCAATTTATTTATAACTTCTATTTAATAAAATATATGCATATATACATATGTTCTTTCAGAATTATGATCGATCATTGCGAGGAAATCTTTAAAGTATCAGCCGAATTAATAGACGTTGTCTATTCCCACATGCTCGACATGTGCCCAGAGAAGCTTTATTGTCTATTCGAGCAACGTAGTCAGAGCGTTAGGTAGGTATATTATGTTTTTTTTTAAGAACCGTGCATATGTCTTTACTAGCATTCTTCAGGGAAACTTCTCATTTTGAGATATTATCTACATATTTTGAAAGAAAATTGGAAAGAAGGAAGCTTGTTTTTATGTAAACTTTTACTGAAGAATACAAAAAATGTACTTCTAAATTTGGGTCTCTTGAATGGGCACAGTAAAGAAATAAATAATTGTGTAATTAACAAGTCTTAAAACTATCAGCTTTTACATAGAGAATGTGGCCCAAGTAGGTGCTGAAAATCTGAAAATTTATGAATTCGTGGATTCGCGAGCTAGTGCAAAAAAAAAAATAGAATAGGTACATGCAAATTTAGTTGGCAGCAACAGCAGCTTAGAAAATATGAAAGGGATCCATTCGGAAGCAAAATATGTGCCATTGTGTGGTCAGTTTTTACTTATATGCATTCTCCGACCGAACTGGAGAAATGAGGTGCTATTAGTGCCTCCAGAAGGAGTAATAATTTTTCTATTGAACTAAATTTCAATATGTTTCATAATTTCCTTTTTATTAAATAAACTTCGAATTTGCGTTGAGCTGCAGCACGGAAATGTGTAACTACCAGGGAACGGATTTTTAGGACCTAAAAACATATAAAAAAGGCAAAGTAAAATAACGAAATAGACTGTAAAAGGCACAATAAAATATAGAAATAGGCAGAAAAAGGCACTAGAAATCGCAAAAAATTCAGAAACAGGGCACTAGAAGTCGCAAAAAAGGCAAAAAAGGGACTAAGAAAGACAAAAACTGAAAGAAAATCAAAAAAATTTTAACTAACAAAACTTAAATATCTAATATTTGTAGTAACATTGAAACACTAGATGCATTTTGAATTTTTCTGGCAGCATTTTCATTTGATTTTCGCGAAGATAAGCCTTAAATATACTAAACGAGCAATCGGCGTGAGTTGATACAAGTGGCGCCCAGTTTAAATATGGAACGTTTACAACTTTCATATTTTCAGGAATAAGGGATTTTTCCTCGCCCTTAACAATTTTATCCACACCCCAATTTGTCTCCAAGCCTACATTAGCTAAGAAAACGGCTTTGAAATTTTCCAGCACCAATTTGGCAATAGGTCCCCGCGCCTCTATAAGCCGCTTCTCAATGTAATCAAAAATAAATTTTGTGTTAGCTTTTTAAAATATCATACTCATGTGAGGCAAAAAAGCTACATTCTCCGCCCTTTGTCAGGGGCGATCGTTGCCCTGAAAACCATATGGTTGCTTAAAACGAATACATTATCCAATGAGGGAGCTAGACAAGGGCAAGAAGGCAAAAACATGCCCTTTTACAGGGTGTGTAACATCAAACATATTTTGCACCGTGGAAGGCAAACATTTTTTGCGAGAAACGAAATCACCATTAATGTTTGCTTAAGTATTTCACTACTACTTACACACTGCGTTTTACTATACATACTAATTTTCGTAGCACTATTTTCGAATCTGGGCATTTATTTTTTTAATATTAACAAAAACAAAATTTAAATGCTATAATCACTTTTTTTAATGGTAGAAAAGGCAAAAAGGCAAATATCTTAAAAAGGCAAGCAAAATGCATTCTCAAATGTGTATATGTTACCGGCCAAACCCGATCTTATGGCTAAACTAGTTTTGCCTAGGCCAAACTAGTTTTGCCTAGGCCAAACTAGTTTTACCAACACGCAATAGGATATACCGGTTTAGCCTAAGATAAACTGGTCTTTCCGTAGCCGGTTTGGACAAACCGGTTAAGTCTAGGCTAAATAGATGATCCTGATCACAGCGTACGGCAGTGCTCGCGAGTGACGAAAGCAGCCTCAGTAGCATGCTGAAATAACTCGCTTATATATACACGAGATTTGGAAGTTTTTATCCAGACTTTCATCGACATTTTTGAGGTATAGTTGGAAAGGTCCTGCAGAGTGCGTCCAGAAAATGTATTCAAGCTTCATAAACGATTAACCGGATTATTAAAAATTAGGCTGCAGTGTTGCGAAACAAAAAATATTTTTTTTGCTTTTTCAGGTTTAAGGGGGTATGTGGATGCACCAAATGTATTTAGTGTTTTTCTATAGGCCAATACCTTTCAAACGATACCTTATATATTAAGTTCTGGCTACTAGTTGGAAAGATATAGAGCTAAATGTGTTTTGGTTCGTGTCTCCACTACGAGATACGTTGCGATATGTGTAGCGTCTGAACGTACCTTCATTTAATTTTTTCAAACTTTCAAGAATTAAAGTACCAAAAAACTAGGAAGGTTTTGTTCCAGGATGTTTCGATTCGTAGGCCTTTGTGGGCGTGGCTGGTGCCTGAAATTCGAAAAAAGGCAATTTTTAAACTACCACTGAGGTCGCACTACTCATTCCATACCATTGAAGTGGATATCAGTAGAAGGGTCTTAAAACAAGCTATCAACGCTGTCTTTTGCGTTTATAAAATATAAATATGTCATAACGTTATCGCCTGAAAAGTAAAAATCGGGCTGCTGAAAATAGAGAACTCGGGCATTTTTTTCAAAAACTGGTCAGTCGATTTTATTCTAAGTTTCCACAAGTCTAGCCCAAAACCTTAGCTCTCTTCTGGTACAGTATATTTTGCTTTGCTGCCTCTATACTTAAGTGCACATTTAAGGTACCTACCCCAAAATGCACATCAGAGGCATTATTTTTAAAATTTATAAGGAAACTGCTCTGATAGATGCATTCAACATACCTGCACATTGGCGATACCTGTCTTAAAAATTGTCCAACTAGTATCAATTATCAATGAAAGTATTACGTTTACCTGCACTGGCCCTATTTTGTTCATCTCGCAGAACAACGAAAATTGCTATTAATTTATGTAGTTATATAGATAATTAGATAGCAATCGGTAAAAATTTCGCTTGCAGTAATTTCTACATGGTAAGGGCTCCGCCAATATTTGGTTTCATAGGGATTTGGATACCTTCCTCAAAGAAGGATGTGCAGCTAAGCAAAATATACTGTATGTAGCCTATATCTGGGAAAACTATTCTTGTGGATATATTACGATTCAAATTGAAAAAATGTCGCTCCAAAAAGGGTCAAATGGTTAAAATTAACATATCCGTCTAATTTAGTTACTTTAAGATACAAAAATCATATACCCAGTTCCCCGAAAAAAGTGGCCATTCCCCGATTGCCACTTAAATCGAAATTCCCTGCAAATCGGGGAATTTCCCGCGAGTTGACAAGTTGAAGGGTGCAGCTGTGCTAATCCTTTCGTACATGTCATCGAAACTACAATTTGTGTGTATTTTAGGGTTTTTTTTCAGTCGCATGCCAAAATTTTAACATTTTTCGCAATTTTAATTGCAGGTATGTACACAGTATGTAACTATGCTACATGGGTTTATCACCCGCACTTAACCTAGCTGGGAAGACGCATACAATATTACCTACAGTTGTACATTTGTACATAAATATGTATGTATAAATGCATTTAGTTCACCCAATGTGCCGCTCTACTTAAATAAAAGTTATAAATTGCCACTGAACAAAACTACTTGAAAAAAAATCATTAGTTTTATAGCACGAGTGCAACTCCGTACACGTGATAGAAGTAAAACTTCTTAAAAAAGCACAGGTGTGCGCCCCACACCCGGTAGAAATCTTAACAATAATTAAACCACGAGACAATCAGGCGAATACAGTTGTTTATTGTATCCAAAATTGATACCAATTTTATACGTTGTTATCATTTCTCACAATTTTTTTTTTAATTTTTTCGAATACAAAGGATATGACCGTTCTTTTTCGCTTTATTCCGTATTCGAAAAATTATATTTTTCAATGGACACATGGATTTGAACACATAATTTAGATTTAGATATCATTTTTAACAATTTGTTTGGGAAAAATAAAACATTTGNGGCTGCTGAAAATAGAGAACTCGGGCATTTTTTTCAAAAACTGGTCAGTCGATTTTATTCTAAGTTTCCACAAGTCTAGCCCAAAACCTTAGCTCTCTTCTGGTACAGTATATTTTGCTTTGCTGCCTCTATACTTAAGTGCACATTTAAGGTACCTACCCCAAAATGCACATCAGAGGCATTATTTTTAAAATTTATAAGGAAACTGCTCTGATAGATGCATTCAACATACCTGCACATTGGCGATACCTGTCTTAAAAATTGTCCAACTAGTATCAATTATCAATGAAAGTATTACGTTTACCTGCACTGGCCCTATTTTGTTCATCTCGCAGAACAACGAAAATTGCTATTAATTTATGTAGTTATATAGATAATTAGATAGCAATCGGTAAAAATTTCGCTTGCAGTAATTTCTACATGGTAAGGGCTCCGCCAATATTTGGTTTCATAGGGATTTGGATACCTTCCTCAAAGAAGGATGTGCAGCTAAGCAAAATATACTGTATGTAGCCTATATCTGGGAAAACTATTCTTGTGGATATATTACGATTCAAATTGAAAAAATGTCGCTCCAAAAAGGGTCAAATGGTTAAAATTAACATATCCGTCTAATTTAGTTACTTTAAGATACAAAAATCATATACCCAGTTCCCCGAAAAAAGTGGCCATTCCCCGATTGCCACTTAAATCGAAATTCCCTGCAAATCGGGGAATTTCCCGCGAGTTGACAAGTTGAAGGGTGCAGCTGTGCTAATCCTTTCGTACATGTCATCGAAACTACAATTTGTGTGTATTTTAGGGTTTTTTTTCAGTCGCATGCCAAAATTTTAACATTTTTCGCAATTTTAATTGCAGGTATGTACACAGTATGTAACTATGCTACATGGGTTTATCACCCGCACTTAACCTAGCTGGGAAGACGCATACAATATTACCTACAGTTGTACATTTGTACATAAATATGTATGTATAAATGCATTTAGTTCACCCAATGTGCCGCTCTACTTAAATAAAAGTTATAAATTGCCACTGAACAAAACTACTTGAAAAAAAATCATTAGTTTTATAGCACGAGTGCAA